ACCAATAAGATGGGGTGGTAGAGAAGATGAGAAGGATAATGATTACAGCCATACAGCATGGAAAGTATCCTTAAGCATAAGACAGTATGAAGAAACGGAGGCGTCTGAGGTAACAGTAACCATTTATTCGAACAAGAACGAGTAGCAACAGTAACAGTAAGTAGACCGGAGAGTCTGCGATGCTTGACAGCCTTTTATACCCGGCTGCCAAGCTGCTTAACCCAGAGCCTCGCGTCTGACAGCCCGGCAACCGGCAGGTGCGTCTGATTGGCTAAGACACGCCTGGCTGCTGCCGAGCTGTCATTCGTAAGTGTGAGGACTTACGAGGCTGTAACACCCCTCATATCCTGGATATAAACTGTTTCAATTCCTCCCCTTAGGACAAAACAGCTAGACACAAATACAGTTTTTCCCTCATGCCATCACTCTGCTGAACACCTAATTCACACAGCACTGTCTTATGCTTAAGGATACTTTCCATGCTGTATGGCTGTAATCATTATCCTTCTCATCTTCTCTACCACCCCATCTTATTGGTATCGTATTATGATTATTATTACTCTGCTGCTTTGCATTTACATGGAGAACTTCTGCCACGGAGACATAATTCTTTGTGTGCATAATCACACGGCTGAATAAAATGTTTTCTGTTCTATTTCTATTATTTCTATTTCTATTATTTCTATTCCTATTTCTATTATTTCTATTTATTTTTATTATTTCTATTATTCATGTTTAATTCTAATTCTGTTCTGCTCCATTTTCTTCACTGGTGATAATATGTCACAGTGAGTGTATTGGGTAACCTTGTCCAGAACCTGATCTCGGACTGTTCCCCTCTCTGGCCATGGACACATCTCACCTCCCCACATGTGATTCATATTCTGGTGTTCCAAAAACAAACAAAACAAACAAAAACAAACCTCAACCTCCTCTTCTCAAGTTGGTTCTGCAGAACGCTCTCTTTTTATAGATTTGTCAAGATGAATTGAGTTTCACAATAGAACGGTGACAACTTCACCTTACATCACAACTCTTCAGCTGACTGCATTTAATTTATTGTATATGTGTCATAAAGAGCTAATGGCAAAGAGCAGTCATTCTGTGTGCTTTCAACCTCCAGGCTACCTACAGAAATGAATTATTCCCACTGATTTTGACCCAGATAGTTACTTGAGGACTCTTGAAAGTCAATACTCAATAGGTTTTCTACATGTATTGGGCCGCTTATCTTATTCCCTATATGACTGGTGGAAAACATGGGTTTCCCTGCGCTGAACGTTTGCATAGTAATCAACCCATCACCCTATTAATTTTTTTCTATTTGATATTTTTCTTTGACAAATGTTATTAAGCATTACTATGGTCATAAAAACATAAAATGGAAAGGATTTAAAGGTCAGCTAGATGAAACCCTGCCCAATCAAAGAATCTACAATAGCATCCCTGACAGACAGTCATTCAGCAAGAGAGAGAGAGGGAGGGAGGGAGGGAGACAGAAGGGAGGGAGAGAGGAAGAGAAAGATCACTATCTTCCAAATCTGTCTGTTTCACCTTTAAATAGTTCGTACCAATAAGAATCTTTTTCTGATGCTCAACCAAAATCTTGCATTTTAACTCTATTATCCCTTATATTGTCTTCTGAAGCAATTTTATATGAATTGAATGAATACCTATAGCTTCAGGTGCTTTTTTTCCTATCTTCCTTTTTTTGACTGTTGCCTTAAACATTTCATTATTTAATATATGAGTCAATACTGCCATCTAGTGATCAAGACTGTAGTACTTCATAGATACAGGTCTATTTTTCTTACGGAAAGATTGACACTAACTCTTTCAAATGTTTACAGGGACAATGGGAAAAACTCACAAGTTTTGTAATCTACATCCACCTCTATACTACTAAAACTCTTGTCATTACCATTAACTGGGCAAACCACTGCATCACAGGGCAAGAATTTTTGAATCAAGCTACCTCAAAAGGGCTCAGAAGGATCCAATGCATCTGAAATCAGAGACCTGTAACTCCTGGGGGAATTAAATTCGGGGGACAGTCCATGACAATTTCCCACCCAGTCTCGCAATCCCTTGCTCCTTGCTCTCACCCAATATCAAGGAATTGACTCATCATGTGGCTCTTAAAGAAACAATGGTCATAAATGTGAAAAATGGTCATAACTCACATGCTGTTGTAATGGTCATAACTCAAGTGCTGTTTTTTCAGTGCTGTTGTAACTTCAGCCACTAAATGAACTGTTGTAAGTCAAGGGCTAGCTATACATTAGAAAGATTCATAACTGAAAGATCTGAATTGCATTGCTCACTGTGGGAACCAGGCAGTGACATTAATCTAAACAAAATAACAGAAAGCCACAGAGGCCACATGGAACCTTATTTGATCTTCTAAAGTAAGCTGCCAAAAATTCAGCAGAAAAACTACCTATTTTCACCTATTTTCTGTAGAAAGTAAGGGACAAAGTAAGTGTTTACAATGTTTCAAACCATCCATTTTCCCCTTTAAATCCCTTACAAATCTCACCCCAATAACTGAAAGGACAGAAAATTCAACATTGTTGTGTTATCAGTCATGTAGTCCCTTAATTTCTGGATTCAAAAATATGATATTTTACAATAATATGTTAAACATCACTGCACTCCAGAACAACTGGACACAAAGACAGTTTTTCCCCTAATGCCATCACTCTGCTAGACAACTAATTCCCACAACACTGCCAAATTATTTACTAAGACTGTATTACTATTATTCTTCTCATCCTTCCTATTACCTATCTCCTCCCACTTATGACTATAAGCTTGTTGCTTGTATTTCTATGATTTATATTGTTTTGTTTCCTAGTATGATTTGATTGCTTATTAGTAACCTATAACTATCACTAAGTGTTGTACCTTATTGTATTCTTGATGAACGTATTCTATTTTATTTTTCTTTATGTACACTGAGAGCATATGCACCAAAGACACATTCTGTATCTATTCCATTCCATTCCATTCCATTCCAATATGTTTACTCCTCATCCCTCCAATCATTTCCTCTGTTTGGTTTGGTGGAGCACACTTCATCTTGAGCTCCATGGACACTCACTATGAGTGACTGTAACCTAGACTTTAGCACTCAGAAGATTGGCCCTGCCTCCCCCCCCCCCCCAAAAAAAACCCCCAAAATCTTTTCAAAAAAGGCACGCCTCAAAAACACAGTTTTTCATCAGTCAA